TTACGTATGCAGACCGGAAATGGACGATCACGAAGGAATGCCAATCTATAGACGCCATTTTTAAAATGAATGGAAGATACATCTATCATTGTGTAGCGAGGTTATGAAAAATTGTCATGATACTTCGTATCTATGAAGTATCTATTCATTATATCCTACAAATCTTGTGATACGTTCATTCGTTTGTTCGTTCGTTCGTTCGTTCTTTCATTCATTCATTCATTCATTCATTCATTCATTCATTCATTCATTCATTCATTCATTCATTCATTCATTCATTCATTCATTCATTCATTCATTCATTCATTCATTCATTCATTCATTCATTCATTCATTCATTCATTCATTCATTCATTCATTCATTCATTCTTTCTTTCACTCGTTCATTCATTCATTCATTCATTCATTCATTTGTAAATTATAATACTTTGAAATTTCCCTATAAAAGCGTTGATGATGAGTAAAATCTAAATATGGTCTACACGCTTCACCATGAACAGAACACCAACGATTTTTTTATTAATTCTAATAAATTGGATAATAATTATAAAACTGCTGTCAGAAATATTTTGAAGCTCAATCGTAAACTCTCAAAGGCTAAAAATTCGGTAGATTTGATCAAACATTGCATGAACTATGGTCTGCACAAACAAAAACACACATACAAACACAAATAAAAATGACAGACGACAAACGACTGCGTTAAAAACATCGTTAAAATGTTACAAACATACGTAAAAAAGCAATACAAAACATTCAGACATTATTAAAACTACGAACACCACATGTTCAATTGTTCACATGTCACATGTTCATACATTAACATGTGAACATGTGAACGTGTGAACATATGAACACGCAAACATGTTAACAAGAAGCAAGCAGCATTTGGTTAGAGGGATGAAATTAATAGAAACAAGTCATTTCCTTCTTAGGCTTATTACCTACATTTGTTACATGCTTGTGTTTCCATTGTGTGTGTGTGTGTGTGTGTGTGTGTGTGTGTGTGTGTGTGTGTGTGTGTGTGTGTGTGTGTGTGTGTCTGTGTATATAAGCAAGTATGTTATATGCATGTAAGAGCACATGCATGAAACAGAAATCTCCCTCTTTATATTTGTGTGTTTATTTGTAATGTTTATTTTGTGTTTATTCTTCTGGTTATTTTGTTCACTTGTACATTCCTATTGAGCGCATGGGCAAAACGAAGTATCGACACTCAGATGCACCAATCAGTTCATGTACGTGCGTTACATACGGTTATTTTGTGATGTCTTTGTTTATTTATTTGTTTTTTTTAGAGTGCCAGTGTAAAAAATGTTAGAGGTGTCCTGTGTTTGAAACTTGAATCTTCTGGTTGTTTGTTTGTTTGTTTAATAATATCCCACTTCCACTCCGGCCCTTCAAAAAATCCAACTCCGGGTAAAAATTTACGACTCCAGACACCGGGTTTCGAATTCCAGAAAAATTTTCAACTCTTCTTATTATCACTACTAAATAAAAAATTATTTTAAAAAATACTTAAAATCAGTAAATGTAATTTTTTTTATAGTGAAATTAATTTATTTTTTATGATTTAAAGCATTCTGAAAAAATTATGTGATTTTATTCACATTATTAGCATTTATTTTCAGTGTTAATGATGATTGTTCATTGAAACAAAACTCAACATCAACATCACACAACACGACATAAACACACAATGTTAAAAAATTAAAAAAAAATTTAATTTTTTAAAATAAATAACATATTCCGGAGTCGAAGTTGGATAAAATAATCCGACTCCGACTAATCGTTAGCTCATGAGTCTGTTGCTGAAATTACTTATTCAATATTTTATTTTCGAAGTCAAACAGGTCTTATAATCAATAAAGAATTTGTTTTCATCAAAATTTTTCTATGATAATTTAATCAATATATCATTTAAAAATAGTTTTTTTCTAACATTGAAATATGTTTAAATAAAACAAAACAAACAATTTTCTTTACACATTATGATCAAACACACAAATTGACAACCGGCAGCTGCCAGATTTGAAAAACTTTTCATCAAATTCATCAAATTCATTGAATTTGTCATAAACGACTTGAGACAAAAACAAACTAAAAAATATATGTCCAGCCAATGTTTTAAAATACTCAAACCACATCTTGCATTTTGGATTTTTTCGAGCACTTCTCCCGGTGACTCTTAATTCTACTCGGTCACATATTCAGGCAAACTTTATGATCTTCTGCTGTCTATTAGATGCAAGATTTCAACCTAGCAGAATTTTTCACCTCTTCCATAAAACGATATAAATAAAATCAAAATTTTGATCGCTGTGAACATTTTTGTAGGCTCGGGAAGAAGCGGCACAAGGTTGGATGATGGTACATAAAAATATCTCAACCAAACTTTAAAAATTTTTGCTTGGTCATAAAAAAAACAGTCGATCCTGCATTGCCTTAGCTAAATGAAGAAACACTTTTTCAAATTATTCCGGTTGCGTCTATTTAATTCTTCTTTTATTCTTCTTTTGAGACGTTTCAAATCTCTAAAAACATAAACATGACATTTTATTTAGACGAGAACTGTTTTTGAATGATGATGTTAAAGACTCTTCAACCAGTTTGTTTTATATTTTAACGTTGAACTTCGTTGCCTTCATTTCATTTTTCATCACCGGCAACGAGCCACACTAGAAGTGGAGGCTTTTGTTGCGCTTCAGTTGGTGGGATGTCCCTCCATTGCATCGTTACTTAAGTGGCCTTGCAAGCCTTTTGGGTTTCTGGTTATACTTTAAATAAATATTATAAAAATTTGCAACCAGTTTGATGTAGGTGAGTTGCAGCTGATGCTTGTTAAGTATTCCCTGTTANAAGCAAGATATTGGGCTCTCAAAATTAGACTGTTTCCAACAATATCAGCAATATTTTGTCCTTCANTAAAGCGTATGTCTAATATATAAAACTTTAGTATGTGACCGTGTAAATATAAATTTTGTTTAGCGTACAGCATGCAAGAATTGCGTGTTGCAGGTTGAAAATATTGTATGGTATTGCACAAACATTGTGTGGGATGCCTTAAAAATGGTATGTACGAACATTGTATGTTGTACAGTACAAACATTGTATGTTGTACAATACAAACATTGTATGTTGTACAGTACTGACATAGCATTTTAAACAAGTGTTTCTTCCGTCTTTCAGTTGTGTGACCGCATGAATTCATAAATAGGATTGCTTATTGATTCAATTAGCAATTGTTTAGTTGTGTCGATTGCATTTTTTTATCGTCGTATTGTCTTCTTCTTCTTCTTCTTATTATTATTATTATTATTATTATTATAAAATCAAAAAATTACAAACAATCGAAATACGAAAATAACTTGAAATTGTGTTTAAAGGCTGACTTTAAAAACAGTTTAATTGTTTTGAAAACATTTGAAATCACCCCGATTGGCTTTTTTAATGTTTTAAACTTGTCTCTAATTAAAAATTCATGGCCGATTACATTTATTAACAAATTAACTTATACAGTTATTAAATCGACGTATGCCATTTATTGCGATAGAAACAATCCGTAACCAATTTGAATATTTTACCGTTTTGCACTTGTCATAGATAATGAGCATTGTGGTTTTATTGAATATTAGTATATATTTTAATTATTCTATTTTCTTCCATTCATTAGATTGACTTTGATTGAAATAAAAGAGTTTCCATTTATATTATAATTATTAAATTATACTTTATAGTCTATTAACCCAATAATCAACAGGACTCGGCTATTTTCAATTTAATATGTGAACGTTTTTAAAATAAAAACACATGCTGACAATAAGTAAACCGGAAAAGCCCAAGATACCTTTTGAAAAAAATTTTGATACCATTATTATAAATATCATAACTATCAGTACATTCATCACCATCATAAACAACATCACCATCATCATCACCACAATCAACAGCCGCAGGAACACCACCATGGTGAGTGAATGAGTGGGTGATTGAGTGAGTGAGTGAGTGAGTGAATGAGAGAGGACTTTAATCGGCATCTACGTGAACAAGTCCTCCTGTGCACAACTTTAATTTTCCGATTAGAAGTTGTTGGTCAGCAAGGGATGTGTGGTCTCCAGGGATTTCATCCCACACATGGCTCTCTACTCTACGTCTGCTCAAATGCTTGTCTGTGTTTGTTTGTGTGCTTCTGTGTGCTGCTCTGGGCTTGTGTGTGATGCTTGTGTGTGTGAGTCCGTGCGTTTTTTAAGTAATGGCATACTTGAGCGTGTTTGAGAGTGTATTTGTGTTTTGACGTTTGTGTGTGTGTGTGTGTGTGTGTTTTGTGTGCTTCAGTTTTTGTTCATGTTTTCACAAGCCCGTATTTAATTATTTCACATTCAACTAATAACAGTAAGTTGTTCAATGATGATTTTTTTGAAAATTTTAATTTTATTGCTAATGAAAACTTATTCGAGGAAAATATTTTATCGACGTTGCTTCCAATTACGATGAAAGGAAAATCTGATGCAGAGTTGGACGTGTCAGCTTCCTGCTAATTGATTGGTCAGCTGAGGCATCACCTTCTGCCCTGACCTCAACAAAGATTTTAACCTTACAATATCGAGCTTTCTCGATTATTCGTGAAACAAGAATGCTAAAATTGCGTGAATTGCACTGAACTGGCTCACCAAATAATGTTACAAAAATTTAATATTATTTTTAGACAAGTTTGATAGCGAATAGATATTTAAATGAAACTTTGTACGCAATTTTTCAAAAGAGTTTTTTGTTAAACAGAAAATGTATATAAATATTTATATGTAGATAATATATAAATAAATGTTTTAATTATAATGTTTGAGTACATAGTTAACTAAAATTGAGAAAAATAACTTTGAATAACAAATCTACTTTACACATATTTAAAAATCTCCATCAAACCCCATCAAAATATTTCCCGCCAGACCACTGGGATATAAAATTTCCGCCCTTCTTATTCACAACACGTTTTCATTTCAATATTACTCACTGCCTGGTCCATTAAATATTTCAATGTAGCCAGTGATATCTACCAAG